CCAACTCCCATCGATAGTGGAAATAATCGATTTTTTCATGCTTCTACGGCCAGTTTCTACTGGCCAGAGTGAGAGCCTATAGCTGGTTGCCACGAATAGACAGGAAGATTCTATTGGCCAGCGTGAGAGCCAACAGCTGACTGACACGAATGTTAACTAGCATGCTAGCATGCCAAAAAATCGATAGCTGCATCCGTCACAAGTGGGAAAATGTAAATCTGCATAGCACTTTACTTCAATTGGCTCATTCGCTTACTTAAACTCAACGTTGATTCTGATTCCGCAGAACTGGGTTGGGTGTGAAAAAGTATTTGTTGTTAACGTTCTTTTTTCATTCGGTTTTTCCAGTTACGAGTCCTTTTTTTTTTTAAGCTGATCGTTTTGTGTTCATTTTCTTTAGTTCTTTTTTCGTAACAGATTTAATGTTTAGTATAGAGCTTAGAAAAAAATCGCAGTGTGAGATAGGCAAGAAGTAAGGCATGTAGCAACATCAGCACAGCAAAGAGCACCCATTTAAAGGCAAGGAAGGGCAAAAATATTTTAGGTCAAGTGATAGCAATTGCTGTATGAGTCGTACGATTTTTGAATCAAGCACGGGCAACGCCGGGCAATGCTGCTAGTGTACTCTAAAGTTATCCACATATGACTTACTTCTATTTCTTTCTTTTTTTTTGTTAACATTTCTGCCTTGTACTGTTAACTACACATTTATAAATATTTGTTTGTTATCGGATTTCTCCTAGGGTTTTGGAGATAGACACCCCCATAACCATATATATTCTGAAACTACATTACCCAGGGTTCTTGGATAAGTATATTTCATGTTGATCAAAGGGTGTCCCCTGTAGGCACAACACTCCCACTGACATTTCATTTAAATTAAAAATAAACAAGGGAATGGCTCCTATCCAAAACATATAAGGAGAAAGCCAGAAATTGGAGGTAACATCGGTACAATGAGACGATATGGACATCAAGTTGAGCAAGAAATCACAAATCAGAGGGGAGTGCCTTACAATACATACTTGTTGCGACAATTCAACTGTGACATTCATGTTGAAAACTGCTAATAAATTTATACCATTCAAGTATTGCATCAAATACATATCAATGGGATCAGATCAAGCTGTTTTTGCCCCTCACAATTATTTTTTCCGTTTGATTTAAATTAAATTTAAACAAGGGAATGACTCTTATCCAAAATATAGAAGGAGAAAGCCAGAAAATGGATAAGATCATAGAGTAATATTGAAATACATCATTTCTTCAACAAATTATAGCAATGATTTAAAACTAGGTACCTCCACGAGATCGCTAAAAAAAGAGCATAGCATGATGAAAAAGACGCCAAACTTGACGAAAACAAAATTTTATCGTCTAAATGCTTGTGTCATTATTAAGAGGAAAGAACAAAGTTCAATTATTTTTTTTTAATTTTTCTTTCTCTTTAGAATATTATAAAGTTTGATTAAAAAAACTTGTTTCTCTTTGTATCATCGGAACTAATAAAATAACATATACAATTTTTAGCACTTTTTTTTTGTATGACACACATTATTTTGTAAAATCTTGCAAAAATAAAAATATTAGTCGGATGTTAATGAAACTTTCAGAAACTATTCACAGAAGCTCGAAATTATTATAAATACTTTTTTCTGTTATTAAAGTCATGGCAGAAATATATTTTTTTATATTTATTACCTCCACCCCGCATAACTAATTTTATGAAAACGCTAGAAATTCGATCGCGTCAGGTTTAGTGATTACAATAGTTAAAAGCACAAAGCTTTGAAGAATGCAAATCATGTTTTGTTTTTTTTTTAATTGGATCCCACGTACCTGAAAATCAGCTGTAAATTGTAACATACAAAACTCTATAAAACAAAGATATTATTTAATTTCAAATGCTTTTATTTGCTTTTAGTTGTTTTTATGAATATGAATAATATTTTCTGCTAGCAAAAACTTTTTTCGATGAAAAATGAACTTTTAATACAATTATTTGTTATTTCTTTAATTATAATAGATTTTTACATTTAAGTTGTTAAAATATTATAAAATTAGTTAAAAGCCGCATCGGCTTTCCTAAATCTCCTTAGATAGATCTTTTTTTAGCGCGTTGGAAATTGTATTATTTTGATTAATCAGAAGATCCGCAATAATTAAGAAATGTAATTTTGTGTTTATAATCGCGCTGTAATTATAAAGTACGGAAGACCAACCAGAATACAATTAAGTTGCGTTATTTGAGTTCAGCGTTGTTCACCGCTGTTAAGGCCTTTACTTTTGCGAAACACGTATGGAGAAGTTAATTTGATTTTTCAATTTCAACTGAGAAGGGAACCTACAAGTATCAGTATCATCTTATGAAATTTTACATGATCTTATTTTTATATTAATCTCAGTTCTCCATAAATGAAATATCAAAATTAATAAAATGAATGGAAATACAAATAACACAGTAAAATGTAATAACTGTACATAAAATTATAGTATTTTATGTACACTTCAGATAAAATTTCATAAGAAAGGTACCTATAAATTAACTAGATACCTTTCTTATGAAATATGAAATTTAATCTTACTCTTAACAGTTTTATTTTAATTTCTTTATATTTTCCATAAAGCATCATAAACATAAAAGTGAAAACTAAGTACAAAAACAATTTAGAGCGCTGAAAGTTTTCCTTAAAAATAACGAGGTAAATAATTTGTTCACTTAAATCTAAATAACTTCATTTTTCGCCTTCCGTAGAACAAATTATGATCACGTAATCCGTCGATACGTCCTTCATCACCTTTCAAGTGACGCGAAAGGTTATGACCTGCTTTTATTTTCAAATTACATCTTTTCGGCGCAGAAGCTAAGTCAAACTTGGTTCAAAATATTTTAAATAAACATTATAATTTCTGATTTTCTTAAAATGAGTTTTTAAAAAATGATAATTGATTTTTAAAAGAATTTCAAATTGAGATTTTCATCTTTTTTATAAAATGGGAAAAATGGATGCCATAATCGATTATCTGTCAAATTTCCTGATAAAAAAAAACAAGATTTTTAACGAAAATTTCGGACATGCTCGGAACGATTAAAAAATGTAAAAAAAAATATCCTAAAAATACTTTGATCTTTCCTCTTAATAATATCATGAACATTTAGACGATAAAATTTTGTTTTCGTCAAGTTTGGCGTCTTTTTCATCGTGCTATGCTCTTTTTTAGCGATCACATGGAGGTACCTATTTAAAATCCATCATCATTTTCTAACAAAAATTTGTGTGACATACAGCAAGGCGCGGGTAATTCGGCAAGTTTAATTATAATTGTCGATCACATTATAAAGAATGGAAGTTTTGTTGCGTGGTAAACTGGTACCGGGGTCGATGACGTTAGCCACTTTTACATGCAAATCCGCCCCCCTTTCAAACCGCCCCCCCACCAAAAAATAGAAGTGAAATTAGCAATCTGAATTCAAATTCCGTCAGGCGTAACTTTTTCCTTCATATCAATTAGGAAAAGTATCAATTTGTCTCTTCTGCCTCGTTAAGCAGTAGATTCTACTTAACTTTATAGGCTTGACTGACAACCAGTCTATGAGAAGGAAACCTTTTAATTCGAGACCGTGCAGAAGGCAGTGGAAAGCCACTCCACTATTTATCAGAGGAATTCCTGGCAATAAATAAACAGATAATAATGAAAAGCGATTTGTGTGTTATCATGATCACCTACGTCCTAAACGATTAAGGCATTAAAACCATTGATATATATACAAATTATTTTTAAAAATTACTGAAAGCCTGAAAGCCTGAAAGCACTGTAAATGTAAAACAACCGTACCAGCAGGTAGTATTTAGAAAAGAGTGCACAAATGTCAAGGGAAATTATGGCAGGAATCCGAAAGCGCATAGGAATCATAAAAGATGCCTTCCGGTAACTAAGCCAAGTATTAAGATATAGAAAAATATCGCCAGAAACAAGGAAAAGCATGAAAATCTTCTATGCCACGAATAAATCTCCTATATGGCAGTGAATGCTGGGCTTACTGATGAAGACCTAATTGAAACGGTACATATGTGTTTCATTATATGAATACAAAGAATATCTTGGCAGTAACAAGTAAGAAAAAAGGAATGGAATTTAAGTGAATTAGGAACAACAAGGAAACTGGTACTGAAAGAGAAAATTGAAATTCTAGGATACATAATGAAGAAAGTGAGCTTGGAGAATTTAACATTCACAAGATATAGTGAAAGCAAAAGTAGCGGGAAGAACGAGTATTATATTAGGTTGGTGCAAAAAATAATGTCGTTTTTGACGTTCAACAACGTCAAAAACGACATTATTTTGCACCAACCTAATATTAAATGAGTTTGCTTGAATGGATAGGCAAAGAGGAAAAAAGTAAGATTGGGTGAAGACAAAAATTACCAGAAGAAAGAAATTACAGAAAGTTATAAAGAGCTATTATCACCCATGTCCTGATATCTGTCTATCTATCGATCTATCTATCTTCCTTCCTTCTTTTCTTTCTTTATCTATATTTCTGAAATGAGGTATTGTAATTATTTAGATTGTTCAGACTGTGGTCCTCATCTTTGTTGCCATATTCACAATGTTTTGGCCGTTGTAAGCCGCGGTCTACTGCAGGTCATTGTAATCTCGAAGTCAACACTCTATCTCGAACGAAATCAAGTTGTTCGCTACGAAATTCCAATCACCTGACGAAGGCCAGAGCGTACAATAACCGAAACGTTGTGAATATGACAACAAAGATGAAGACAACAGTCCGAACAATATAAGTAATATATGTAGTTTCAATCTGTCTATCTATCTGTCTATCACACCACGTTCCTGTTATTAGTGATACTTGATGGTGCAACTCGCACGAGCTCGCCTACGTTAATTGAATACACATAGAGATAAGAAGCATCGCACTTAAACAAACACTATTTCTGTCCATTCATATTTATCTACCACAGGCAATTCATATATGTCTCTCTATGTGTCTATCTCAGTCCACTCATATCTATCTATCTATCTATCTAAGTCCACTCATATCTATCTATCTATCTAAGTCCACTCATATCTATCTATCTATCTATCTATCTATCTATCTATCTCAGTCCACTCCTATCTATCTATCTCAGTCCACTCCTATCTATCTATCTATCTATCTCAGTCCACTCCTATCTATCTATCTATCTATCTCAGTCCACTCCTATCTATCTATCTATCTCAGTCCACTCCTATCTATCTATCTATCTATCTATCTAGTCAGTCCATCTATCTATCTATCTCAGTCCACTCCTATCTATCTATCTATCTATCTATCTCAGTCCACTCCTATCTATCTATCTATCTCAGTCTACTCCTATCTATCTATCTATCTATCATCTATCTATCTCAGTCCACTCCTATCTATCTATCTCAGTCCACTCCTATCTATCTATCTCAGTCCACTCCTATCTATCTATCTCAGTCCACTCCTATCTATCTATCTAGCTAGCTATCTATCTCAGTCCATTCATTATCTATCTCAGTCCACTCATATCTATCTATCTATCTATCTATCTATCTATCTATCTCAGTCCACTCATATCTGTCTATATCTCTAACTATCTATCAGTCTGTTCACATCTTTCAATCTATCTATATTTCTTTAAAATAAATTACAATATGTTTTTACTCATTTTCGTGAAATATAATAACCATTTGTCATATAATAACCATCATAAAATAAATCAACTTTTTTTCCCATTAAGACTCAACTTATAATAAATACATTTTCTTTCGAAGCCGCTACCTATTAAATATACGGAAATAATTATACAATTTATACCGACGTAGAAGAAAGAAAATCCGATTTCTTTGTTTTTGAGCATTGGCCTACCAACTCCGATCGCAAAACCGAAGCAAATAACAAATTCAGCAAAATGAATAGAGGTTACTGACAGACACTGAAAATAATGTCTGATGTGTATATCATAATTTCATTCTCACTAGATGTTTTGTACCCAGTTGTCCAATTTAGCTCTCAATTTTCAATACATTTAAATGGCTGGTAATGCACATTGGGAAACAATATGAAATTAAATGTCTGCTAAAATAGAGAAAACTGTCGAAGATTCATAAAATTGGAGAAAACGTTATTAAAGAATAAAAAAGAGAATAACTTAGCTATCAAAAGACTTAGGGACACTGGCTAAATAGCCATGTCTTTGGAATCTTGGGGTACTCGCAAATGAGAATGGCGCTTGTTAGATGATCTGCTTTACAGATGAAACACATGTATTACGATATGAAAAGGTCTTACTGTATTATTTTCATCGTATATTTTTGTTTTATTTCAAATTCATTATTGATTTTAACGAAGCGTTGAAGATCATGTCTTTACTCGTTAAGTGATGTGCTTTAGGCTGAAAAGTTTTATCTATCATCGAGGAAGAAAAGAAAGTTACAAGAAAAGAAGAATGAGTGAACACATCATGTAAGCAGAAGGAAAGACGTTACAGTGAATGAAAGTTTAAATGTAATTATGAGCAAAGGATTACAGAAAGAAGGAAAGAAAGACTAATCAGTAAAATAGATGGATATAAGCCAAAAAGAAATGTTACAGAAAAAGAAATCTCAGATACATAAGCTGTGAAAAGTAAAATTGAAAAATAAATATTTAAAAGTAGATAAGAATAGAGAGCAGAAACAGGAAGAAAGAAAAATAGTCGGCAATGAAGAAATGAACAGACGCTAAATAGAGAAAGCAGAGAAAGAAAAGAAAACAAAGAAAACACAGACAGAAAAGAAATAAGAGACAAAAAAGAAATAAGAGACAAAAAAGAAATAAGAGACAAAAAAGAAATAAGAGACAAAAAAGAAAACACAGACAGAAAAGTAAACAAATAAAACAGAGACAGAAAAGAAGTAAGAGAAAGAAAAGAAAACAGAAAAAGAAAAGAAAACAGAAAAAGAAAAGAAAACAAAGAAAACAGAGACAGAAAAGAAAACAGAGAAAACAGAGACAGAAAAGAAAGAAAACAGAGAAAGAAAAGAAAACAGAAAAAAAAGAGAGAAAGAAAAACAGAGAAACCAGAGAAAGAAAGCAAAAAAAAAAAAAAAAAAAAAGAAAATAAACAGATAAACAAAAGAGAGAAAGCAAAAGAGAGAAACACAAAAGAATTAAAAAAGAGACGCGCGGGATCAGCTTCAAAAATTAAATGGAACAAAATAAAGGGCGATAATCGAACATATATTTCTTATGGTCGAATGGTCAAGAGAAAAATTTAAATGACTGCACCGCAAAAAAAAGGAAAGAAGAAATGCTTAGAAGAATGAAGAAAAATAAATAGAAATATTAAAAAAACAGATAAAATCAGTGAAACTTAAATAGTAACATAGCATAATAAAATAAAGTAAATAATGAAAAAAAGAAAAGAATTACAAAAGAAAACCAAAAGTAAGGACAATAAAAAGAACGTAGGAAGTTAGAAATATTGAAACGTTTGAAATAATAGTTACAAAAAAAAAAAAAGATGATCTATAAAAAAGGCAAGAAAGAAAGAAAGAAAGAAGAAAAAAAAACTGTGAAAGAAAGAGAAATAAGAAGGTTAGATATTTGTAAAAGAAAGCTAGGAAAGAAAATGTATGGATGGAAGGTAACCGAGATGGAAAGAAACACGTTATATTTAAAGAATGACAGCTTTAATGTTTAACTCGTCAGTTTGCACTTGGTAACTGCAGAAAATAAAATGCGGATAAGATATTATCAACAGCCTAAGCTACAACTTTAATCGTCATAAATTAAGTAGAGAAATTAAATGAAAGCAATACACATTACGTCTACATGTCGTCGGTTCCTCCTTGATGTCTAATGGATATAAGTTAAGATTCTTGTTAAAACCACGAGTTCTAAGTTTCAGTAATTACCAACTCCTCCTCTGTTTTATTACATTTCAGTGTCTTCCTGTATTAACTGATCGATCTTCCTTTATTTTTGTGCTAACATTTCTTTCTTTTCTTTTTCTTTGTTTGTTTTTTTTTTGTTCACCTGGCGCTTAGATTGATACTGCATAATACGGTGAGGTGTCAAATGACTCAAGTGAAGCTACCATCACTTCTGCTAGTTTGTTTAATTATACCTATTTACTGATTTATCGGATTGACTCTCAATTGGTTTATTCTTATTGTTTGTACTTACAGCAGAGACATTATTAGGTTTGTATTCTACGCAATATTTATTATTATTATGGTGATTGCTTTTTGTCGATTGTGCATGTTGTTCTTGTCGGATGTAAATGTGTTGCAATGGTGACGTATATTTCAGATGATTTCTGGCGACAGAAGTGAAAGGTTTGCTTTTAGAAAACTCGACAAAGGAAACCTGTGAGATAGATTAATGAACGGCAGAAGCGAACAGAAAATAGAGAAATCCAGCGAAGTAAGTTCCACATCATTCAAGAATAAAAGAACCATACAAAAACACACATTTTCATCTTTTATAAATCGGCGTAAGGATCACTTGTGTCTGTTAATTTCTACCTGACATTATTAGGACAAATAGATTCACATCGTTCACATATAGACAGTAATTTTGATATTAGTCTTTTTAAAATGATATATTACTAACAAATTAAATAAAAAATGTTTAAAATATCGGCAGTAATATTTACTTTGCATAAAAATGTTTGAAATCAGTTTAATAAATATTTTATCAATGTAAATTATTGTTAAGACAATGTTTTAAAAATGATATATAAGCAATGTATCTGTAAAGAAAGTTGAACTTATTAATCGTGTGTGTATAGAAATAATTTATATCTAACTTGTCAAAATTCACTTGTAAGTTAGCAGAAACATATCACTGAGTTTTTACGTAAAGAAAACAAAGAAATTAAAAAAATATATTTTTGAAGAAAGGGACACAATTAACGCCTAAAAATATTAAAATTGTTAGGGAATACTATAATTTTAGGGCCGGCAAAGTTAGTCATGACCTTATTTCCTGAAGTGTTCGTAGTAACTGTTGTTGCCGATGACATTTCGCATTACTACAAAATTAGTCGAGCGGAGTCGAAAGAATTGAGGAATTATCTAAATAAGTTAAAATAATCTGTTAAATTAGATTTTTTTTTTACACCTGTGCTGAATTATTTAAGCAGGTGATAAAATTGTAACTTTGACGTATCATTATTATTATCATTATTATAATTAACATAAACATTAAAAAAAATATTTAAATATATCTCTCATGGGCAGTTTAATGTAGCTGCGTCGAGAGCAGAAAATTCAAATGGGATTCGCATAATGACAAAAGGAATCTTTTAAGCAAAGTGTTTTGCTAGAAATGTTGTCTATACAGGACTCTTAAAGAGCTAAAAGCAGTTCTAAGGCAAATAATTTTCTCTGTCCATAGGATGTATATTCGACCAGTGTAAAGTCATATAATACACGCACTCATCCAAATTGAACGTATATGGACATGTTAGGGTTACCGACTTCCTAAAATAAAAATGTGGGCCATGGAGTGTTGTAGTTACCGATAAAATGAACCGGGAGACAAGTTCAAATATTGTGGTTCCATTAAAGCGAAGTTCCCAACTAAGGATTCACGAAACCACCATTTTATATAGAAATTCATATGTAAGAGATTATCATTCAAAAAATTACAGAGCCAGTGCGAAATAAATGTTCAATTCAAATCTTACAAAGCAACCAAAGTGTATTTTAAAAAAAGCAATATATGAAAAAACAAGCTGTAATGTATTTTTCAGTTTTTTAAAAAATATTTTTGAAGAATGTGACGCAATTAACGTCTAAAAATATGAAAATTGTTGGAGAATACTATAATGTATAATTTGTACTTGGTAGGAATTATTATATAGAGGATTTTCAGTCCATATGAGAGTGTAGACTCGTCCTTTCCTACCTATCACCCCTAATAACAGAACAGTCTATACCTTACACCTACGTACGGAAAACTTCGACCAATAAAAACCGTACTCGGCGAATCAACAAATCTCATTGGTTAACAACACAATAATCTGAAAGTTTCACGTGCAAAACAAAATTGCGCCAAAACTTCTTTGAGCCGATTTTGGACTTTCAAAAGATATAAAATAAAAAACCGACTGACCAAAGCAGTCAGAGACGAACATCCACAGAGAAATTGCCAACATACTCCACGTCGCTCGAAATCACGATTTTACCGCGCAAAAGTACATCAAAGCTGACTCACTTGCAATTTAAACACGACCAACTCTGTGGACATCGAATCGCAAACCTAAAACAACTTTACTTATACAAATTGAATTATATTCACTACATATTAAGTAAAAATCAACGTTCGAACGATTCAGAAATATTACAGTCAAAGGTAGATTACGCCATAAGAACTCCTTCCAAAAAACACTTAATATCGACATTTTTAATATTAACACAAATCCAAAAAAAACTGTAAATGAACATACAAATACAAAGAGTGACATACCGAAATCTAAAATATCACACACACTTTGCCATAGTAACATATACCAAAATATCCTGTATATATATTACTTTGAGATTGTATATAAATGTTTTATTGGTTTCTAAATTGAATATGTCTTGTTTTTGATTGTATTTA